GCACTGGCCGATCTGCTGAGTGTCCCAGAAATGCCTAAACAACAATGGAGATGAAATGGTTAGTAATAGATTACCTCTAATCTGTGTATCCATCTAGGCTTCTTTTGGTTGTTGTTACTTTGTTTTTTCTTCAAATAGCAACCATAACAAATGAGGTGGATGTCCAGGGCTGTTTCTTTCTCCCAAGAACAAAACGCCTGACCTTCTCAGAGCCTTGTGCTTCTCTCTCGCAGTATCTTCTGGACAGAATGTCAAGAGACAGTCCTTTCTCTGAACTTGTAGGCATCTCCATAGGGAAGGTGAAAGAGAGAAATGAGAAAACCAGGGCAGAGCTGGTTGTGACCTAACAATGAAGCAATCCCAAAGCTTCCCTTAAAGGATCAGGAGTCACTTCCCCTTGATTTTTATACTATATAGAACCTGAAAGAGGTTTCAGTTAGTTCAGAAGGTGCTGTCTTACTCCATTGATCATCTCTTGCTTTGACTTTCAGGTCTGCAGCAATGGGGAGTGTGTTGATGTGAATATAGCCTACTAATCAACCTCTGGCTTCTCTCAGATTTGATTTTGGAGATCCTTCTTCCAGAAGGTTTCACTTCCCTCAAGTCCAAAAACCCATCTGCCTGCATCCTACTAGTAAATCACTCTTAGCTTTCATATGGAATCTAAATTATGCAATATTTCTTTTCCATATTTAATCTGTTTACCTCTTGCTGTAATCAAACCTTTTTCCCACCACAAAGTTCCATGGGCATGTACAACACCAAGAGCTTATTTGCTGTAAAAAAAAAAATGGCCATTTTACCGTTGTTTTTTTTGGGGTTTTTTTTTTCTTGAAAATCTTTCACTTGTCATCCAAGTGAAGAACTGAAGAAGCTTCTTGGATAAGAAGCAAAACTTTTCCTTTTTTAAAAAAAAATATTTATTTTCATTTGTCAACATGAGTAAAATGAAAACAGAGAAACAGAAAAATGAACACAAACATAAGAGTGAAGAAAAAGGAAAAATAAAGTGTTTTTTTAATGGGTACAAAAAAAGGTGGGGGGACCTAAATGTTGAATATATCCAACATCATAGGGTTCAATCTGAGTCCGTCATCAGGACCAGAAGTTTCGTCTTCCAAACTTCCGGTCTCATGCTGGAGCCCATCCTCAGAGCCCCTCTCTGTGTCCAGTATGAGTCCAAAAGGTCAGGAAACAAAAACTGGTCCTGGTGACTGACCCAGATTGGATCCTACAACATTATCCTGGGACACGTATGTTCTCCATCATTCATGTCTGACATGGAACAAAAAGAGCCCACCCCGGCTGGATGCTGAAACATTGAAAAAACCATTAGGTTCTCCTTCTCTTACGTAATGGATCTACAAATAGTTATAAGCTTTCCCATCCTTATTTGACAAAACTACTATATTAAACAAACAAATATTCCAGATGAGAGAATCCATCTATTATTGTCTTCAACAGGTAGAAAGTCCACCAACGGCTTCCAGGCTCTTATAAACCTGTCTAGTCCATTGTCTGATCAAAGCAGTTGGTTTTGCGATCTCTGCAATTCAGACAATTTCAAGATCCATTCTTCCACAGTCAGCACAGGGCTTAGCAAGTACAATCCTCACAGCAGTCATAACATAAAGTGATAACGTCCCAAATTGTTTTTCAATTGGTTTGTCCCTAATACCTAAAAAACCCTTCAGATTTAATATCTCTATCTTAAATATTCCGAAATCAACAACAACCAAGAAAGTTCAGTGGCCTTTTGAACAGCACCTTTGGGCCAGCCCTGACCTGGAAGATTGAGAATCTCCACAGACAGTGTGGACCATTAATGGGTGGGATGGCCTGACCCCAGAAGCTGTGGCTGCTCCATCACTGGAGCTTTTCAAGGCATTTATTTGTCCAGAACGGTATAAGGTCTCCTGCCTTGGCCACAGGGTTGGACTAGAAGGCCTCCAAGGCACTTCCAGACCTATGATTCTATGACAGTTCTAAATGCTGACTGCTAGTAAAGATTTTCTGGATTTTTAAAAAGGTTGAAATTCCCTGATTGCAGATTCCTACTGTACATCAGTCTTAAACACATTCTAGATATTTGTTTTCTATTTGCATATATTCATGAGGGCCATGTGACCCCAGAAGCTCTTCAGCTGTGAATCAGAGATGAACAGGGACCCCCCCTAGAGTCAGACACAACTGGCAGGGGAAACATTTATGTTTTTTTAGTGCATTGGTAACATTGTTTGATAGTTCTTCATCTCACATTTGGCCAGAAGATTTTGGGAACAAGACAACTAAATGAAGCTCACCAGTTATGTGGATTTTGCCAATGGAAAGAGAGTAAACTTTGAATTTGTGTTGCCAGATATACTTTTACACACATTGTTCTGATGACAGGCAGGATAAGATTGAAAAAAATAGGAAGGAGTGGCATTTCCAGTATCTGGTATCCTTTGAATCAGAAACAGTAATGGTATGTGGCAAAGACCTTGGGACTACAAAGCTTCCCACCAATAGCAATAAGGAAAGCCACTTGTATATAAATAGAGAGCAAATATCATTCACTTCCACCATTGATGATATTACCTAGTTTGGTAATGAAATGTCTGCAAGACAAAAGGACCCCACAGTATTCATGAGCAACAGTTGCTTAAAAACAGCAGTAGTATCAGCACTGTAATACAATTGCTTTACAGTAGCAAAGCCTGCATCCTAAAAAAAAAACAGCCTTAATAACACTAATAATAACTGATTTCCAAAAGGAAAAGCATAATAATTCTTTCACAGTTGCTTTTCCTTGTGTCTTGCCAGCATCTGATTGAAAGTAACAGACAAAATGAGATTAAAGAAGATTAAAAGATCAGTGCCAAGGAGATTATAGAAAAAACCCATTTAATTCCCTGATCTATTTCTTTATTTCTTTGTTTTCTCTGCTTGTTTTGATTTTATCTTCCAAAGCTGTAAAGGGTGATATGGGGCTTATGCAACATTAGAATTAGTGGCAGTCAAGGATGCACATATTTCACCTGCCAATATGAAAAAGAGAGGGCTTTGTGGCCACCATCTTGGCACTTATTTTTATTAACCCTCCCTGCAGATGCCCATAGCTGCAATCAAAACTCATGAAAATCACTGGATATTGTTAGTCGTAGTTACAATTGGTGGAGAGCTTCATAAATGAATAACAAATGGAGTCATAAAGAGCCAGTTTGATGTAGTGGTTAAGATGCTGGTCTAGAAACCAGGAGACTTTGACTTATTTATAAAAAATAATAAATACGGGGATAAAATATAAATAAAATCCAGAAATGAAGAACAAAACATTTGGCCATGTATCATATAGATATAGGAGAAGAACAGACAAAGCTGGAAGGTGGAGTTAAATGTGACATCAGTTTGGAATCATCCCATTGCCACAAGAGACCCAGTTCCAGCCCTCCATAAATCCCATTGGCCCTTATCTAGTGCCAATTCAGCACTGACCATTAGTTGACTAGATTCTGGTGTATAGTGGCAAGCATAAACCCTCCTGTGCCTTGACTTCAATGGCTTTGTTTAATTAATTGTTCCTGCATTGTGTTGAATTCCAGCGTGACAGGGTCACTCTCTGCCAAAGTTCCTCAACTTCAATTCCCTCTATCATTCCATCTCTGTTAGTAAGAATTAAGTCCAGTATAGCTGACCAGCTCAGAGGCCACCCTGGGTTTGTCAAAAACAGATCATTCCTTATTTCTTTCTTTGACAAAATGACTAAATCAGTGGATAAGGGAAACAGTGTGGACATAGTTTTACTAGACTTCAATGTGGCATTTGACAAAGTAGACTACAGCCTACCTCTTGGTAAGACTGAACAATGTGGGATAATCAGTACCACCACAAGATGGATTCACAACTGACTGACCAACCACACTCAGCAGGTAGTTCTCAATGGAACTACATCTACATGGCAGGAAGTATGCAGTGAAGTATCCCAAAGTTCTGTCTTAAGCTCAGTACTCTTCAACATCTTCATAAGTGATCTAGATGAATGAATGGAAGGAGAACTCATCAAGTTTGAAGGCAACTCCAAGCTGGGGAGAATAGCCAACACTTTAAAAGATAAGCTCAAGACTCAGAATGATCGTGAAAGACTTGAACACTGGGCCCTGTAACTCAAACTCTTTTTTCTAAGTACCAAAACAATTGGATTATTATTATTATTATTATTATTATTATTATTATTA